CATGCAAGAAAAGTTGCCTTTTACACGCTGCTGAAACGCTGCTTTTCCAAAGCAACTTACCCCATTTTCCCTCCCTCAGCTGAACCCAGCCTAATCGCCTCCTTCCAGCCAGTCCCTCAAGAGACGCTGGCGTTGCTGCCAAGATGGCACTTTGCCCACGCTCTCATCCAGAAAACGGTTGCAGGTGTAAAGCTGGGCTCGGTGACACCCAGCGACAAGGGGGTGCTGCATCCTTCCCTTCCTTCGCAGAGCCAGAGTACAGATGCGTGGCGGGGCTCAAGGAGGTTGGCTGCCTGCCGCAGCTGCAGATGGATCCCTCATCCTCTGTATCTTGCTAGTTTCTTTCTTTACAAGGATGATCTCTGAGATAAGTTTGCCCATGTGGTTTTCTGTGATGATCATTGGATGACAAGAAAAGAAAAAGAAGAGAAAAGGGGCCTTTGACAGACACATTTGGTTGATACATTATTGCTGTTGATAAATCTTAGCAAAATACAAATATGTGTTGCTATTCCTCTTGTGGGTGCTGGTTTCAGTTTTTGGAAGCAGTAGAAAGATTAACTGTAGAAAAAAGAATTCCCTGGCAGCCTTTTTCAGCTCTTTCGTTGGAAGAAAATGGTGACAATTATAAAATTTCAGAACTGATTTTGAGCAACAGTGGTGTGTCATTGGCATCCCTTCTCAGGAAGTTCACCTAGTCATCTTGAAATAGTGCCTGGATTCAAATGACTTGTCATCATTACCTGTTTCGCACTGATTAGCTGATAATTTTCTGCATAACTCATGTCTGGGAGGAAGAAAGGAGCTTACTGAGTCCTTTAGAAGTTCAGGTGAGCCTTACAATGACTCATGCAATGACTGAAGGTGCATGTTCCTGTTTCACCAAGTATTGGGTAAACTTGAATTGTTGGTGTCATTTTTTTGTGCAATTAGGGAAGTACGACAAGGAGTGAAAAAGCAGCAGGTAGCAAATGTTTTTATGTCTGTCCTGGAAAAACAGGGAGGGAAGCTAAGGAGTCTTTGTGTGGTCAGCAGTGCTGGGTATGAAGTGGCTCATTAATATCTTGTCCTACTAAGTTGAAGAAATGTCTGAAGAGGAGAATAACCTGATGTGTCAAAAATATCTTCCTCAATCAGATTAGTAATTTTGATTAATTCCTGAATTCCTGTGAAAAATAAGCAGAGTACTTGCAAAATGAACTTACACCCTGTCCCACTCCCTGCTGATTTCTTTTGAGCTTTGACTAGACAGGAAGAGGACAACTTGGCACCAGCTTACCATGGCAAATTTGTTGATTTATAAGGACTGAAATCTCTGTGACACTTTTTCTCCCTATAGTCTGGAGATGAAATGGAAGGACTCAAGAATGCAAAACTCGAGTACTAATGAAAGTGACAAATAATAAATTTTATATAGGTACAGAAGAATTGATATTCATCACTTAAACTACAGTAACCTTGGAAAGATAACCTAGCTGGTGGAAACACAGAGCTCCCAGATTTTCAGCGATATATTACATTGCAGTTTTTAGATACAGATGCTAGAGGAAGCACTGAAAATGAAGTAAAAAATGGGGTGGGAAAGGAAGAAATGGCTTACAGAGGGCTGCTTTCCTTTTCAGCTGACATACAGAAAGCATCGTAATGACAGGGAAGAACGTACAAAGAGTGCAACTTGATTAAGCGTGAGACCTCTGATGTTGCAGGCTCGGGTTGAGTTTCTGCTCATCTGCGGCATCTGGCCCGTTTGCTGGCCCCTGAATGCAAAGCTTGGGTGATTCCTAGCAGGAGTTAGAGCTTCCCCTCTTAGACTTTGCTCTTTAATTATCCAGAATAGGACAAATCAATGTCTTCAAAGACCAGCACTACCTGATTATTTCCATCCTTATAATCTTCAGATTGCCCTGGAGCATTCTGCTGTCTCCTAGATCTAGGTAACAATTTTGATCTGATTTCCCATGCTTTTGCTCACTGGGCGCTGAATATTTTTGTGTCCGTCTGTTCACAAGCTGGAGCTAGAAGTGCACATGTGAAGTTACAGCTCAGATCTCATTTGTACGGAAGGAAGTCTGTCACAGTTTTCTCTGCTACTTTATGTAAAGCATTAAAACCTAACGCTAGTTCCTGGACACTGAACTTTTTTTGGTCCAGAGAGCCTGGCTTGAGCTTACGTTTTATAGGTATAACTAATGGAAACCAGTCCCTCCATGATGCCGTGTTTGGTTCTGGTTACCTCCAAGGAGAGGAAGGGATGGCATGAAAAATCTGAGCATTAAAAAACCAAAAAGCCCTACCAGAAGTACATTTTCATAGTACCACTTGCTGTTTGCTTTTTTATAGGTCAGACTAATTTGAAATGCATAGGCAAATCTTTTGGGTTCCCTCCTACTCCTGCTTCCTATTGTGAAGGTAAAAATTCCATTTTATGGAAGTTGATTAGTTACTTGTCAGTATTTTTAGCAAGGCTGTGCCTGAATGAAGTTTAAATCACAGCACAGGTGAATGCAGCTTGATGGGAGCCACGTACCTTGAAACGCAGCCCTATCTAGTTCAGCTGGGATCAACTATAATTCTCTGCTCATTAAACCATTTCATTCTGATAAAATACATTAAATGAAAAAGTTTTTAGAAAAAAAGAAAAAAAGGAAGACGTCACAACATTATCCCTGCCAAAAAAGCCCTCTGTTAATTACAGGGTTTTTCTTTCAAAGGAACATCCGTGTCTGTTCATATGCATCAACCACACTAACTAGGAAATGTATTTCAGAAAAAATAATATGTAAAAAATAATAATAGGTATTTCTGATTAGTTATGGCTGCTGAAAAGATTTACTTATTCTTCAAAGAGTTTAAATAAATATCTGACATGTATAAGCTAAAATAATTTTTATTGGTATAAAAATGTTTTGCAAATTTTCATTTTGACTTTGAGCTGAGAAAACAGTTATCAAATTTTATTGATATATGCTTATTTATTTTGCAAACATTTGTGAATTTCCTTGTGCTTCACTTCCACCTTTGTATTAGGAATAATATTTTACACGCTGTGAAATATTTTACTGTAGTGAGGATAATTTCATTACTAATTGTCAGGTACTCTCATTATTATAACTATGAGGTCCATAAAAATGCCTATTAAAAATACAAAAACAATATGAGATCCCCCTCCTCCAAGCAAATGACTCATGCAGGCACACTCATCAACTAAGATAATATATTAACTAGTTGCACCCTTGCTGAGTACCATCTATTTTCTCACTGACTCATCCTTTTTAGCTACACATGTAGCTAATTCTTAATTATCTATCATCTAATTATCTCTTAGCTAATCTTGTATTTAATCCTCTTTTGAACTTCAAAAAGTATCTCGGTTTTGGATCCACATGCAAGTCTCTAGCTTCTTCTAACGGGAATGTTGAGTCGGATTTTAAGGCTGAAGTCTTGGCCCATCTCACTGGGCTGCGTGAAAATCATTCATTCAAAAGACCAACAGTCTTGTGCAGGACTGGCCTTTGGTCATGGCATGCTTAGATAACAGGCTTCTCTGTCAACCGCTGCAACCATATTCACCTTTATGAATGCTCCAACTTCCAGCTTTGTCTCCAGGATCCGCCTGTCTCTAACTTGATCTGCATAGACCCTAATTTTTCCACCTTGCCTTTATTAAACTTGGAACTGAAAAATGTGGTATTTGCCCATTAGATCTCTTACAATAAACAACTTGTTCATTCTCATTACCCTGGCATGAAAATCCAATGAGGATGACCAAGAGAGGATCTTGGTGCTCTTATGAACTGCCTTGATTGCATGCTACAGGCACAGCATGCTCTCTCATATCTGAGTGCTGGTAATCTCAGACACAAGAATACTAGAAATAATCTAATGTCTGTAACAGGGAATAAGAGGGAAGGATGCATTTTATGTAAATTTAATCAGAAAGTCCTGAAGTGGTTTGGAAAGTTGGCAGAATATAATATACCTGAAGACTCTTGCGTTGCAGAGGTGTCGTTGATTGGTTGGGTTTTGCGCAGCACAGTGCATGTTAATGGCGCAGAGGGCTCTTCTTAGGGCACTAGAAACGCTGCGGTGGGCTCATGGGTAGGTTTAGCACATGTTAAGCTATACGGTGAAATTGGATACTTAAAATGAAAAAAGTTGATCACACCCTCAAGAGCTCCACAGCCTGTTTGTGTGCCATAGCCCATCCTGGCGTGGGAATTAGGTGTAGTGAGACAGTTCTCCAAAAGCTTAAAATCCTGGTGTTGGGGATACACATGAGGTATACTGAGCTGCAAAATCCCCACTGACTTGGACCATCAGCCCTCAATATTGCCATTTCCTTTGCTCATCATAGCTGTTTCAGCATGCAACTTTGCACAGTTTTAAATAATTTTATTGTAGGAAATCCCTCATGCCTCCTCTATCAACCATGTTGCTTACTGCTGTGAAATTGGCACCTCGGAATCCATTAACTCCCAGCTGCAAGACAGATGGCATCTGTCTGTGGTGAGAGAAGGTTTGTTGAGAAAAGGCCTTGGAAATGCTTCCCAAAGGACATCAGACCCTAATTTTCCTGAGAGAGATGCGGGCAGCCTTGGTAACAAATAGGCCTAGATCTTCTTTGTTCTTCATGGGAACAGGTCTTTCTTTTGCCTTACCAACCACTAAAAAAATTAAAAATTGCTAGTTCTGGCTCTCAGTACATATCTTTGGTATCTGTGTGAGTATCACCAGCTGAAATTCAGAAATTAGGCAATTTTGTCTTTATTGTGACATTCAGACAGAGATAAGAAGGAGCAAGCCGAGAGGGTGGAGAGGAACTGGGACATTGTGCATGTTGTGTTGCTCTGTAGAGGCACAGCCTTTCTTTGAAAGCTGGTTGAAGGAAGTAGATTGGAACAGCTCTTGACTCGTGACTGTGATTTCACACCACAAACCAACCTGACACCAAAGAGAGAGAGATTAGCAGGAAAATGATTCATTAAGCATTCATGTTGCCATGGTCTTGGCTCTGGTATTGATCTGTCCTCTGTGTGTGTGTGTGTGTTACCAAACCAGGACTCGGCACACTTAGAATGAGTGAAGAAAGGGAAATACGACACATTGCTACTTTCTTGACATGTCCATTTGAAATTTCTTATAAACATGCCATTTAAAGCCAGTTCCTAAACGTATACTGTGCTATATATATTCCTCAAACTACATTCCTTTGTTTACATTCTCCCTGGTGTATGAAGATGTCATTCTTAATCTCCAGCGTTTCACAGAAATAGAAGGCCAGATCCTGATGTAAATTCATGCGTCTCTGCCAAAGCTGGTGGGGCTACACCAGCATATGCCATTTGGGAATCTAGGTCAAAGAAAGCAGATGCCCAGTGCTTTATGGGCTTTACATGCACGCGCGCATACAGCGTTATGGATTGAAAAGTGCAGCTACAGCATAAATGCTCCATTTGAAATTCTCTTACAAGAGCATTCAAGCCTATACTGTAATTATACATATTGTATTTCCTTGTATTCAGACCCATGGGGAATTCATATTGTCCTTGCTAAAGCCAGAGGGACTGAAGGAAAGCAGTCATTTAATGATTCAGCTGTCTTGGGCTCTATGATTTAATCAATCATATGAAAGAAATTTTTAGATTCTTTGTGTTTAGAGTTCTCTTGTCTGAGCAGAAAATGTTCCCTTTTTGAATTGCTTTAATAGCTGTATTTATGCAGCTGAAAGTTCCTTAAGAAATGAAAGTAAAATCAAATTGCTGAGAATGCCTAGATAATTTATCGGAGAATATTCAATTAGAATATATTAATATTTTAGATTTCCATCATTAATT